TCCTGACGCCCACCTCACCCCTGTCCCGACGCCCACCTCACCCCTCTCTGTCCTGACACCCACATCACAAATGATTGGCAATTTTTGACAAAGAATAATAGGGCACATGGGCCACCTGCTTCAGATTTCATGTAGATTTGGGTATATTGCAAGAGGAAAGACCTGGTAATTGGAGAAAAAAATAAAATACAAATTATCCCTATATTTGGACAATCTATATATGTGGACAATCTAAAAGGACAACTGATTCTAGTTTGTATCTTTTTAACCATTCACAACGACTCCATGCTTAAGCAATAACAGAAGGGAAATCTGTCTGATAAAATAGTAATGCATTTTTACAACTAAGTATCATCTTAACAATGCTTAACATCCTTATTGAATTGCTATAACAACAAATTCAGAATAGAATGTGCATGGACTACGATAGGGAGCACACATCTCAATCTCAATCGCTGCTTCACAGACGTCAGGAAAGTCCATTTGATTTGCATTTCTGCATATCAAACAAGTCAGCATAAATCCATAAGAAACCTCACTCTGCTTGGGGCGGGGGCTTTAAATCAATCTCTCTTGATTTGAAACAAAAGGTTTCATTGGTGCTGAGTCTTGAAAACCCTCATCTTACCTGGCCAAGAGAAATGTAGAACTTTTTCATAATCGTGAGATTGTCCTCTTCGTCGGTAGGCGGAGGTGGAGTGGGCGGTTTTCTCAGGATCCAGGGTGAGAAGCTTGTTCCCACTATGAAGTTCATGCCTGTACTGCTCCATGTTGCTTGCGAGATCAGTTTGGCTAACCTGTGTTGCAGAAGTCACAAACTTACTCACAGAAGTACTCCGTTTTCATTCGTATTTTATTTAAAACTATTATTCTAAACAAAGTTAAAATTTTAGTAAAATTTTACAGTTTAGAGGGGAATCCTCAGCCCCACACAGATGTTCTGTGTTTTTAAAAACATTTTCAAAGATCTATTTATCTTTATACTTGCCTGCCTGTGTGACCATGTCACACGTACATGCCTGGTGCCCATGGAGTTCATGTGAGGGCATCCAGTTCCCTGGACCTGGAGTCAGGGATGGTTGTGAACCACCATGTGGGTGCTGGGAACCAAACTCATGCCCTCTGCAAGAACAAGTGCTCTTAGCTGCTAAGACTTCTCTCTAGTTCCCCACATTCTGTTTTCAAGGTCACACTAACATCCCTTTGTGTTTACATAAACACCACTGTGAGTGACAGTTAAGTCTAAAAAATGATCAAAGACATAGAACTGTGAAATTTCTTTAGAAAAGCTCTGTGATTTTTGCCAATGTTTTTTTTTAATCACTCCTATTTCTAAAGCAGATAGGATCCAAATGCTAACTGATATAAAAAATAACTTTATATGAAGCAAACAGGCATTTAGAAAAGCACAGGCCGATGGCAGCATGATACCTGTATTCAAAGTAGCAATCACTTTCCAGAAATGCCGGAAGTCTCTTCCTTTTGATCCACTTAATACCTTGTTCGCGGTTGAGGCACTATTAAGAGAAAATGAAGAAAAAGTCATCTTCAGGCTGCCATTGCCACAGTTTGTAGGGTGCTTGCCTAGAATGCACGAAGACCTGGGTTTAATCCCAGCACAGGCCTGAGCCTGGTGGTGCAAGCCTGTAGTCACAGGCGTGAGCATGGTGGTGCATTGCTCTAGTCACAGGCGTGAGCGTGGTGGTACAAGCCTGTAGTCCACCACAGGCGGGTCAGCAGTTCATGGCTATGATGTTTCTTCTTTACTTTGGGTCTCAGTTAACCCTTTTCTTTCTTGTTTCCCATGGTAGAAGATAGATCACTGGCAGCAATGCTTGGTATTTCTATTTCCTATTACATATTTCCTATTACTTAACTACATAAATTTCATTCTAGTGCTAATTTAGCTACATCCCAAATTGTGATGGTTTACTTTAGTTTCTTGTTTTCTTTGAGACTTACTTTTTGACTTATGGGTTATATTGCTCAATTATTTAAGTATTTGGAGATTTTTCCATATTCTTTTGTTACTAACCTAGGGTTTAATTCAGAGTTGATCAATAATAAATTTCACATATTTTTATTATTATAGTTTACTTTAATGTCAGAATAACATCAATTTTGATAACCACTCTAAGTGTAATCTGAATGAACATGAACTTTGGTTTTGTGGGGTGAGTTGTCTACAGGCACCAACAGACTGAGTCTACAGGTACCAACAGGCTGAGTCTACAGGCACCAACAGGTTGAGTCTACAGGCACCAACAGGCTGAGTCCACAGGCACCAACAGGCTGAGTCCACAGGCACCAACAGG